ATATAAAAAAAAAAATTGGTGTAAAAAATTGTACAACGTACAAAAATAAAATTTTGAAATAGTATGCAAAACATAAAATTTATAAAAAAAAATTATCCGGCGAATAACATGAAATCGAAATATGTTAGATAGATATATAGAATGAAATCAATTAATAATTTTTAATAATACATGTAAAGTAACGAGAAGTTTTTAAAATGGAAAAATTAATATAAGAAAAATTCAATAAAAATATAATTATGAAAAAAATTATACTAAAATTAAATGATAACATAAAATTAACAAATTATCAAAACCATAAGACCAAATCAACAAAATATTCGTATTCAACTCTTTTTATACGAAATATAAAAAAAAAAATTGGTGTAAAAAATTGTACAACGTACAAAAATAAAATTTTGAAATAGTATGCAAAACATAAAATTTATAAAAAAAAATTATCCGGCGAATAACATGAAATCGAAATGTGTTAGAAAAATAAATCACATATAAAATATGGACTTATTAATTTTGACATAAAATCATAAATTTTGTTTTTTAGCAAATTAAAAAGATATAGTTTATAAAGTTGGGGTTTAATTCGAAGTTCTAATCTAATATACACTGATATTTATATAATATTAAATATTTGGAGCCTATATGATAAGTGAAAAAAATTTACAAAACAGAAATGATTTATCACAATAAAATCTAAAAACAAATCTAGCCATACATATAATATCGGAATATATTTAAAAATATTAATATCTAATTGATTTAACGTAAGATATTAATGAATACACATAATCTACATCAAATAACATCATTATATATTAAATTAAGAACCATAAATAAAACTAAGTTTATTATAATACTTAAGATTATGTATTCAAATATCAATTTCATCCAACATAACATTGGATGAGATGAGAATGCATCATCAATCATAATATATTATGATAGAATTTCTAAAGAAATGAGAGAAACTCTAAATATATGGGATGAGATAAATCTATTCCATAAAAAAGAGTTAGTTATCATTGACTTCTTATTAAATCATAAAAATGCAATTTTATATATAATGAGTTATATGTTTATAAAAATATAATCTTCCAACGGACAATATTACAAGAGAATATTGTTAAAGAAAAACTATTTCAGAACCATATAGAAAAATATAAAAAATAATTAGCGTAAGATATAAAATTATTAAAAGTTATTTCAAAATTAAGTCAAATACAAACATATATAAATTAAGAGATAATAAATTTTATATTTATTTTAAGAAAATGCTATTGTTGAAAACATTAATGCCACCATTTGTACTATAGTTAAAAAGAAGTTTTAGATACATTTATATCATATTTGCTAGCGTTGGCAAATAAAAACAATACCTATTAGATTTGTCAATTTTTTTTAAAATAAAATAAGATATATTTAGATTTTTTTAATGTCACAAATTTTATAAAACTATAATAAATAACAAAAGTTTCATATCATAAATACATAACTCATTATAAAAACAAATCATATTTATAATATTTAATAATATCATTTTTATTATTATATTATAACTAATTTTATAGAGATCGACAAAAAATCTACAATAAAAAACCTAACGCTACACATATTTTTTCGCATCTTAACTTATTTATACAAATAATATAATAACTAATGATGATTTTACAATAATTTGATTTTGATATCATTTTTTATAACATTCACACCAACAAATTTTATAAAAATAATATAAATATAAAAAAAAAAGAATAACCCGCGCATTGTGCGGGTATATACCTCGTATAATTAAAATGGTCCTGTTAGATAGTACATTGTGTAGTCGGTGCAGTAAACAGAATTAGATTTTCTATACCCTTCTTGATAGAAGAATTTTTTATCTTGCATTTATCCTGGCAAAACCGCTTCCAAAGTCTTTTTTTTTTTTTTTGCAGCAAATAAAGTGTAATGGCTGATCTTTATGAGATTATTGATAAAAACATGATAGAATTTGGTTTATAAAAATGTGATTGAATGAATTTATGATGAGGATTACATCTCACATATATACAATGCATAAAAGATATAATGACATAAAACATGGAAGAAAACATGGAAGAGACATGGAGGAAAACATGGAGGAAAACATGGAGGAAATTAAGTATAATTAGTGACATAATTTTAGGAAAATAATTGTAATAGATAATAATAATATATCAATATACTAACATGCCCCCGCAAGATCGGTGTCGGATAGAAGACCGATCTTGGACCGAAGAAACTCAAACCGTTGGCGTGGGAGAGATTTGGTGAGAGCATCGGCAAGTTGATCCGCAGATGAAACATGAGAGACGCGAAGCTTCTGAGCTTGAACGAGACCCCGAATGTAATGGTAATCAATGGCAACATGTTTCATCCGAGAATGAAAAACAGGATTCGCCGATAGATATGTAGCACCAATATTATCGCAGTAAATAACCGGCATATATAATGCGTTCCTTCAAGGCACTCTTGACGATGATGTATACATGACTCAACCGCCAGGCTTCATCGACAAAGATCAGCCATCCTTCGTATGCAAGCTCCATAAAGCTCTTTACGGTCTCAAGCAAGCTCCTCGAGCGTGGCTTCGGTCCTTCACGGTCGTTCCCCTTTTGAGGTTCTTTTCGAGTCATCTCCAAACTATATTAAACTTCGTACATTTGGTTGTCTTTGCTACCCGTGGCTTCGTCCTTATTCTAGTCATAAACTACAACCTCGATCGGCCCCTTGTGTCTTTGTGGGTTACTCTCTCACCCAAAGTGCTTTCCTTTGTTTGCATGTTGCCACTTCCCGTCTATATGTCTCTCGTCATGTTGAGTTTGTTGAGTCAGAATTTCCTTACTCTAGGCTTCTTTCAACCTCTCACTCTCCGGTTCGTGCAAGAACGTCAGAAATGTACCGTTGTTGAGTGAGGAGAACACCGGTTGATGTGCGGTTGACTTCGACGCCAAGAAAGTATGATAATGAGCCGAGATCTTTGATAGAGAACCGACGAGCGAGGACATCAATGAAGCTCTGCACATCCTTCGAGTGGCTACCCGTGATAATGATATCGTCAACGTACACAAGAACATAGATAGTAACAATATCACGGGTAAGAATGAACAATGAGGTATCAGAGAGGGAGTTAATAAACCCGCACTCAAGGAGAAACCGGCCAGGTTCATTGTACCACGCTCGAGGAGCTTGCTTGAGACCGTAAAGAGCTTTATGGAGCTTGCATACGAAGGATGGCTGATCTTTGTCGATGAAGCCTGGCGGTTGAGTCATGTATACATCATCGTCAAGAGTGCCTTGAAGGAACGCATTATTGACATCAAGTTGGCGAAGAACCCAACCTTTGGAAACCGCAATGCTCAAGACAACACGGATAGTGGCATGTTTGATGACAGGACTGAATGTGTCTGTGTAATCAATCCCAGGCCGTTGGTGAAATCCCTTGGCCACAAGACGAGCTTTGTACCTATCAATAGAGCCATCAGAGTGTCGCTTAGTACGAAAAACCCACTTACAACCAACCACGTTATAAGACGATCGAGACGGAACAAGAGTCCAAGTGCCATTGCGAAGCAAGGCATTGAACTCCTCAGCCATAGCATCACGCCACTTTGGATCCTTAAGAGCTTGCGAAACACACGTAGGTTCCACATCATGGGTTGGATGAAGGGCAGAGGTAAGACTAAGCTTGGGGTGCGGTTTAGTGATGTTGTTTTTGGAGCGAGTAACCATAGGGTGAGTGTTTTGTGGGGGAACAAGAGGTGGTGGTAGGTCAGTGAGTGTATGAACAGGTGAGTCAGGGAGCAAAGTTTGGGTTGGTGGTTCGGTAAGCATGGGATCAGGAGGGTCATGAGGCATCAGGTGCGGAGAAGGTTGAGGAGGTAGCAAAGGCGACAAAGAGCAGGTGAGAGGTATGGAGGAGTTCCTTGTGGGTGACGGGACAACACGGGAGACCAGCTCAGGCGATGACAATGTGTAAGAATGATCAGACCGACATGGAACAAGGGAAGACCGAGAGATAGATGGGAATGGAGAAGAGTCAACCGGAGAGTGAGAGGTTGAAAGAAGCCTAGAGTAAGGAAATTCTGACTCAACAAACTCAACATGACGAGAGACATATAGACGGGAAGTGGCAACATGCAAACAAAGGAAAGCACTTTGGGTGAGAGAGTAACCCACAAAGACACAAGGGGCCGATCGAGGTTGTAGTTTATGACTAGAATAAGGACGAAGCCACGGGTAGCAAAGACAACCAAAGGTACGAAGTTTAATATAGTTTGGAGATGACTCGAAAAGAACCTCAAAAGGGGAACGACCGTGAAGGACCGAAGAAGGGAGACGATTGATCAAATAGACTGCCGTTGGAAAAGCAAAGTTCCAAAGGTCCAAAGGGATGAATGCTTGAGATAAAATTGTAAGTCCGGTTTCAACAACATGACGATGTTTACGTTCCGAAATACCATTATGCTCGGGTGTGTGGGGAGGAGAAGTAAGATGCGAAATACCATGACACGAAAGAAAATCTCGAAGTGCAATATATTCTCCACCATTATCCGAATAAAGAGTGACAATTTTTGTTTGAAAGCGATTTTCAACAAGAGATTTAAACTTTGGAAAAATAGTCGAAACATGAGATTTGTGCCGCATAGGGTAAAACCATGTATATCGGGTAAAATGATCAACAAAAATAACATAATACTTGTACCCGTCAAAAGAGGTGACGGGCGAAGTCCATACGTCCGAGTATAAAAGTTCAAGAGGTCGAGATGAGGTAAGCGTGGAAGTAGAAAAAGGACGTTTATGACTTTTAATAATAAAACAAGACTCACAAGACAATGGACGACTCGACAAAGAGGACAATGGAAGAGAAAAACGTGAAATAATAGAGTTTAAAACGTCTTTAGACGGATGACCTAATCTAGAGTGCCACTCAGAGAGAGAGGTCTTGACACTCGAAAGAGCAAGAGCTGAGGGCTTATTGGAGGATACAGACGAGGAATGGATAGTCGGCCATTCATACACACCGCCATTAAGGGGCCCGGTTAACAGCGGTGCCCCCGTGTTGAGATCCTTCACCTGAAAGAAACGAGAAAAGAATTCCACCGAAACATTGTTAGAATAACAAAGTTGATGAATGGAGATGAGGTTCTTATGCATGGTAGGAACACAAAGGACGTTTTGAAGATTAAGACGACGAGAGTTAGAGGGAAGAGACGAGGAACCAGTGTGTGTTATGGCAAGTCCGGAGCCGTTGCCAATGATAACTTCATCTCCTCCTTGGTAGGGTGAATGGAGAGATAAATTAGCAAGGTCGGTAGTGACATGATGTGAGGCTCCCGAGTCGAGCAACCAAGATGATGGTTGAGAGGGGGAGACAGTTGCAGTCTGAGCCAATGGTTTCCAAGGACCAGTGGTATGAGGTGGACTGGAGTCGGCAGGAGAGCGGGCAACCGAAGGAGGAAGCAGGCGGCATGTTCGGGCACTATGCCCTTGAACACCGCAGAGTTGGCATTTTCCGAGGTATCCTCGAGACTGTGTACGCCATGGTTGAGATCGGGATTGAGTTGAGCGAGAACCCTGAGCAAGAGAAGGTCGGGGCATTGATGAAGGTTGGGGACCAAAACCAGTGGGAGGGCGCCAAGATCGAGAGGTATGTTGTGTTGCATAAGCCGAAATAGGAGGATCTGAGAGATGTATGGCAGCAAGGTCGACATCAAGACTCAACAGTTTCTCATGTAACTCGACAAATGAGATCGGAGTGTCTCGAGCATGTACGACGTCTTTGATAGTCTTGTACTCATCACCGAGGCCAGCGAGAATTAGATCAATGAGATCCTCATGATCCATAGGTTTGCCGAGAAGTGCAAGCTCGTCCGCTTTAATCTTGAAGAAGTTCATGTAGTCATTGACGGTTTTGGTGCCTTTTGTATGGCGCCGCATCTGGTCTTTGAGTTGTTTGATGTGGCCACGGCTAGATCGGCCATAAGTTTGGGCTAGAGTAGCCCATGCATCTGCGGCAGAGGTGGTCGATACTATGAGAGCTTGACAGGGACTTGAGATCGCACCGAGGAGAGCCGAGAAAACAAGACGGTCCTGACGAAACCACGACTTATAGGTCGGGTTAGGAGATAGTACATTGTTGGTGATGATAGTGGTAGCCGGCACTTTGGCCGCATCGAGGAAGTCTTCGAGATTGTATCCTTGGAGTAAGGCACGAAGTTGAATACTCCATGTCAAGTAGTTCATGGCCGTGAGTTTCGAAACATTCGAAACATTGACGTTAATCAACGTCGAGCTCGGATTGTCGGAGTCAAAGATCGTGACCGTGTCGCTCGGGAGACCGGCAGAGCTAGAAGGAGAGTCGGAAGAGGCCATAGCGTAAAGAGAAGATCGACGACGTGCGTAATAGCCGAAGGAGAAAAAAAAAAGTTTCGAAGGAGAAAAAAAAATGTCTTTTGACTTAAGCTCTTGATACCATGATAGAATTTGGTTTATAAAAATGTGATTGAATGAATTTATGATGAGGATTACATCTCACATATATACAATGCATAAAAGATATAATGACATAAAACATGGAAGAAAACATGGAAGAGACATGGAGGAAAACATGGAGGAAAACATGGAGGAAATTAAGTATAATTAGTGACATAATTTTAGGAAAATAATTGTAATAGATAATAATAATATATCAATATACTAACAAAACATTTGTTTAAATCATTTCGTTAAAAAATTTCAAGTTACTTCCTTTTTTTTCAAGTTACTTTTATTTGTGATTTTCAAGAATATCCCCGTTAACAGGTTTTACATTCTCGAATTGAAAAGTCCGAACGATAAAAATCATAGGTTTTTAAATCGTTCATTTGATAAAACTGAAACCATTTTTTTGGATGATCATAATACTTCTAAAAAGTCAAAAGTCTTGATAAATGGAGGATCAATATCATCATTTTGTTCAATAAAATATCAAAGTGGATGATTTACTCGTTCCACATTAGAAATTATCGCCGGAAATCTTTTGATGACATATCTTCATACTTCTCAATAGTTTCCCACGATTGACTAAATCCTTTGAAATAGTTTCTTCCCTATTGTAAATCTTTTAGTAGAAGGAATTTTCTTATAAAAAGTATATTCCTTTGAAATAGTATATGCTATCAAATATTTTCCCACGATCAATACAATCTAAAATTTTTATATAGTTTAGTATAATCCATTTATATCGAATAATGTATTTGATTGGTGGGAAAAACTGTGAAATAACATATGTTATCAAATATTTGAAATTCATCGGCAAACCTATGAAATATCGTTGACTAGTTATGACCACCCATCAATTACTTGATAATTTTCGACCGAGAATTAATTACGTATATGCCCGAGTTTACCCGAACATCGGAACACCAAAAACTTATACACGGATAATTTAGTGAAATATCTCTGATATAATTCGAATACAATATTTTAGAATCGAATTTATCGCGTCCAAACCAACTCTAAATCGAAATTTTAAAAAAAATTGTGGAGGAACCAATCAGAACCGAACCTTCGGTTATTGTTTGGTGCATATTTCTTAAACCGAAGAAATATTACCTGACCCAATTTAATAAACCGGAAAATACCAAATCGAAACTAGAAATACCAGCAGGTTTGGTATTTTTGACCCTCACGTATGTATCTCAAGATTTCGTGGCTTTGTCGTGGGTCTCTCACAGTTCTAAGGGACAATGAACAATGCCCGAAAATTCCATGCACGACTCGTCAAAGTCGGTCTTGACGCCGACCCTCTCTTCCTCCGCCGTCTCTTTGGCCTCTGCTGTCGGGAATGCGCTGCCGCCGGCGACTCCACCATTGCTTCTCACGCACGTGATGTCTTCGAGCTCATACCTTCACCCGACACGTTCAATTACAATGGGATCATCAAATCACACTCACACTATCCTTCCTCTGCTTCTCAAGCCCTGTCCTTCTTCTCTCGCATGATCTCGAATGGTGTCCGTCCGGATCACTACACCTTTCCATCTGTCCTAAAAGTCTGTGCACGTGCACATCTCGGTTATGAACTCCATGCGCTTATTCTCAAGATTGGGTTCTGCGATTTTGTCTATGTATGCAACGCGTTGGTCAATGTTTATGGGTGTTGTGGTTATGTGGAATCTGCGCTCAAGCTGTTTGACGAAATGCCTGACAAAGACTTAGTTTCGTGGTCGACGATAATTTCCTGCTTCGTGAATAATGGGTTTTGGACTGAAGCTCTCCAATGCTTTCAACAGATGCAATTGGTGGAAAATTTGAAACCCGACGAGGTGACGATGCTTAGCGTTGTGGTTGCAATTTCAAGCCTAGGGTCACTGGAGTTAGGGAAATGGGTTGAAGGCTACATTCGTAGAAATGGTTTCAAACTCTCCGTGCCTCTAGGAACTGCTTTGATCGATATGTACTCCAGATGTGGTTCAGTTGACGAATCTATTAAAGTGTTCGACGAAATGTCTCAGCGAAACATAGCTACGTGGACTGCGTTAATTAACGGGCTTGCGGTCCATGGACGGGGTAAGGAGGCTTTAAAGGTATTCTACGAGATGAAGAAAACTGGGTTGCGACCTGATCATGTAATGTTGCGTGCGGTTTTGGTTGGTTGTAGTCATAGTGGTCTCGTTGACGATGGTTGGAAGGTGTGGAACAGTATTAGAGACGACTACAACATGGAACCAATGCTCGAACATTATGGATGTATGGTTGACTTGTTAGGGCGCGCGGGTTCACTACACGAAGCCCTTGACTTTGTTTCGAAAATGCCCGTTAGGCCGAATGCAGTGATATGGAGAATTCTCTTGGGTGCGTGTGTAACGCATAACCGTCTTGACTTAGCTGAGAAAGTAAAAGGGAGGATTCAGGAGCTAGACCCTGATCACGAAGGTGATTATGTGCTTTTGTCAAATGCATATGGTGGATTAGGTCAGTGGAACGAGAAGGCAAATGTTAGGACTTTGATGAGGGACAAGAGAATAAGCAAAGACCCGGGCTATAGTGTGCTCATCGTGGATCAGGAGTTTCACAAGTTTGTATCCGGAGATGATTCTCATCCATTGTCAAAGGAGATAAAAGAATTTCTGGTTTCAATTATTGATAGTGTCAGGGCAGACGGGTATTCTTTGGGTACAACTAATGTCTTTCACGACATCGAGGAGGAAGAGAAGGAGAATTCTATTAGTTTACACAGTGAGAAGTTGGCAGTAGCATTTTGGCTTCTTAGTTTCAGAAATCGAAAAACGATGAGGATCATGAAGAATCTGCGCATTTGCCACGACTGCCATTGTTTCATGAAGCACGTTTCTTGTAAATTTGGTGTGGAGATCATAATCCGAGATCGGAATCGGTTCCACCATTTTAAAGAGGGAGCTTGTTCTTGTAAGGACTATTGGTGACACATTTAAACAACCGATTAGCCATTTCTTTTTTTTTTTCTTTTTCCCAATGTTGTTTTATTGTTTTCAGCTGTAATTCCTACAACTATGGAAGCAAAAAAGAGAGTAGAAGTAGTAATATACCTAGATTCAAACAAGTGACGAGGTTCGAGAACATGTAGCATCCTAAACCCTAAATTCCTATGGAGAATCACTCATCCTTCTGAAGAGCAACAAAGTTCAAGGGTATTGGAACGTTGGCTCTGCCACTTTCTATCCGTTCTTTGCCACCCGAAAGTCCAGGACGACTTGCCCGTCTTCCAATTGGAGTTCTGGTCACATTTTCCGAGTTAAGACTTTGGCCCAACGGCTTCTTTTTGGCAGATCTCGAACCGTACAATGCTTCTTTCTCCATAGCGAGTTGTCCTTGTATCCGTTTCTGTTCCTGTTACGCAAACAAGAACACCTTTGTATGAAACTTTAAAGCTCAAGGTCTCATGGTCCATGGAGATTCCAAACGTCACAAGCAAATTTATTGGTAAAACACGAGATCTAAGTGGTTTATCATTTGTTTTAGTAGCATAATGATTACACCAAGTTTCAAGGAGCATATACCCGCAATAGACGTTTTTCCTCTTCTCTTTGAGCTCGTAAAACAGCGTATTCCTCTAGTGATTGCATGAGCGGACACTGGAAAAACAAAGGCGTAAACCTAATTAAGCTGGATCGGCCATAAACCTAATTGAGTACAATGACCGAAGAAAATGGTCCTGCAATTGTTACCTTATCATATAAGAAGGGGACTCCGCGTTCAACTTCCCAGGCTTTCACTTTGGCAGTCAGATTTTCAATCATCCCTCATGACAGAAAACACAAAACAACTCAATCAGCTGATGTCATGTCCTTGACTGATCAGTTTACAACAAAATTTCTCCAGCCGGCGGATAGTATTTTACAGAAACGAAGATAGAAACATACAATGCTTTATTTTCCTTTCTCTTGTTCAACCTAAACCCATACTTCTAAACCTGAAAAAGACTTTCCAATCTTAACTAAAACCGCTAAACCATGGGACAGCATCAAGGGGGAAAACGTTAGAGGAGGATGAATGAGAAAATCTTAAAGACAACGGTTTGAAGTTAATGATAGAGCAAATCTTAAATACAATAAATCTTAAAGGATGAATGAGCAAATCTTCTAATAATCAACTTGTGCATCAATCATAATAAACCTCTACAAAACTACAAGTCATCGCCTGTTTGGCTGAAGCTAATGATTAAATCTTCGAATGCCTGGTCGATCAAATTTTAAAACAGGGATACATGAGATTCTAAAAGCATGCCAGAGGATATTGTGCACTTAGATTACAATCGTATCAACTAAAGAAATCAGATTTACAAAACAATAAAGACATCAATAGGACTAGACTGCTAAAGGTTTAAAAACAGAATGCAGAATGCGATATATGAAGTTAAGCCTAAATATTTTAAGCAAATAATGAAAGCATAAAGAACACATCTGGGCTCACAAGGGGTTTTGTTCATAAGGCTCCTGGCTTTCTCCGCACGTTTTAAATTTTTGTGCGCTCCTCTTACAGCGCTGAAGCGATTTTCATCCTTGAAGACAACACAGGAAAGATACTGTTTAATAGTAAGTAGATTTACCTATTGGCAGTTTGGCACTCTAAACATTAGCACAAATACTACTTTAAAGATTTACTATGCTTTCCGTTAATGTAGCAGAGAAATAAAATCAGGTGTTTAGTTTGTATCCACAAACATATCGGGCATTCAAATAGAATTATGTATTTTCGAAGATATGTAAGCTTCACTCTGAATTTGTTTCAACTAAAGACAGAACGCCCAAAATGTAAAAGGGAATCAATTCAAAGATTCCTGCAACAAACTCAATATATCTATGTTGTTTTGAGGTTTATGCTCAGCTATGCATTTCAGCTCGAAGCTCCACGTCTAAACCTTGTGTATACATATCTTTATTAAGAAAGCTTCTAAAGTATACTGATTTGGGTACTCACCTTTTCATATTCATCAAGCCATTTTTCCTCCTCTGATGCGTGTCTCCATTTCTCAACTTTGTCCAAGATCTCCTTCCTGCATAAAGCTTCCTCTTTCGCCTTTTCAATTTGTCCATCTATGCTCTTAAGAATATCGGAGAGATCTACATCACCTGTGAAGCCACAGTAAATCATTGTTCAGCAGATAAAGAGAATTTTGTTCAATAAATTGTGCATTGTACTACCGACTAACTTCTAAACAATGCACAATTTATTGGATGAAGGACAGAGTAGTGGAACTCTGCCCAGAGCCTAGTAAAGAGGAATCAAGAAGCATCCTACTCCACATTTATCTTATTCTGGTAATGATATAAGAAAATGCACTAATTTAGGTAAATCTGAACAAAAAACAACAGAGGGATAAATTTACTCAATGGTAGCTCGAAGGAACAGCAGAAGAAAAGGCAAAAGAGAAACAAACACAGAACAACACATGGAACCATACATACATGCCACAGGGACAGAGACTAACCGAGAGAAACACAGGTCATGAATTATCTTATTTGCTTTGAAAAAACCAGAAGTCAACATTCTATAAAGGAAGGAAAGAATCAACGTAGAAAGACCTGAAAAAAAATCTATAATCAACAAGACCAAATTTTAGCACAATCTATGAGTCAACCTATTCAAGAAGGAGTTCCACAATACCAGATTCTATCATGCTGACAAGCGTCTGCCTTGCGGCATCAGTATCTATGTCCAGACGGACCCCTCTGTAAATTTCTTCCAGTTCACTCTGCCTCTTGAGTACCAACTCCTTCATCTTGCTGGATTTCAGGGCATTCAATCTCCCAACTTCCACTTCAGCCTGTGATTTAAAGATTATATTTAGCATATGTGAGAACACTTTCCGGCTTAGATCAGTCTTGGAGTAGGGAACTAAGGGTAGTGCCATGTTTTAATTGAAATAATGATTGCATTACCTGCTCCATGACATCCAGACCAAGACATCCTTTCTCCAAAATATCATCATCTGCAGAAGTAAATCTAGTGACATGATCAAATCCTCTCCTTTCATCAAGAGGTGTGTCCATCAGATTCCACAGCTCTTGCATTGTTTCTCCCAAACCTTTAATCTGAAGCAAATAATAATTTCAAGAGACATATTACTTGATAGCGTTCAGCTTCTGATTTTGGCAACAAACGGTAAATTCATGAATGCCAAAGAATCACCTATCAGAACCAAAATGAAGAGAGTCAAGAGACATACATCAGATAGCACTATCCAAAGAGTACTAATAGGAAAAGCATCTAGAAGCTAAATGTGCCGAAATGAATGAAAAGGAATTTCCTAATTCTGAATCTTAAAGCGGCCAATATATGTATAGCATCCATGAGAAATTATTTTCCAAAACTTCTAAGATGGCTAGAGGCCTTTACTGTTGTTCAGACATATAATAAGTCCATAGAAAATGAACTTAAACACAAGTTCAGGTCTCTAAAATATGCGTGCTACATAGTGGACAATCTCTGATAAGGTAGCCGCACGGAAAAAGGTATGAGAACATATTCTCTCCTTTTTTGGTTCAACTCATACAGCAAATCAAAATATAAGGCAACACATGAATTCGCTCTTAATACCAAGAATCTCAAGAGGTGGTGTGAAAAATCATTTGGATTGAAGAAATTTAAATTGCATTCTTATATTACCTTTTGGAGCCTCTTTTGTTTCTCTTGCTTTAGAGACTCTAGAAGGTTTGTTAATCTAGCCAGAGTATCATTACTGATGCTCCTCGAATTAATCTTTGCAAAATCAGCCAAGCTTACGTGGACATCACTCACTGCCTTCGAGAAATCAAAAGACATCACAACTGACAAGTCATGGATAGAACTGATATATGCATTCACCTTTTGAAGACGAAGAGCCTGAAAATGACACAGAGATTATAGGTTCAACTTAAGGTTGTAATAAGATAAAATGTTAATAACATTGAATTACAGATTTATATAAAAGCAAACCTTCTCATTCTGAAGATCGTGCAAGTGTGCTTTATACTCCTCCAACTTTCTAAGAGTCAAATCACTCTCGCCGACTTTTGGATCAATCGAAGAGACTGTATAATCACTCCCAGCTATGTCACAAGAAATCCTCATAATTTTGGTTAATGTTTCAGTAAATTCTCGGAATCTTTGATCCTTCTTCAACTGCAAATCCTCTAATACAGGTTTTGTAGTGGATATCTGCTCCTTCAAAGTTCCTTTTGCCTGCTCAAATAGATAGAAATTAGAACATATGGAAACACGTATACTCTCCAAGACAGACTAGACTGCCAGATGCTGTTTAGACAAGAGATGTACCACCATATGAAGTGGCAAACATTAGTAAAATCTTATGCACATCAATCTCCAACTAAGAAAATAACTATCATAAAATTATAAACCGTGGAAACAATGATGCAGAGACACCACGAGTATCATACCCTTGAAAACAAAACTTGTTCACCAAGGGAAGATGTGAGGTTGGCGATTTCAGCTTCAGATTCGGCTAACAGCCGCTGCAAATCAGCTTTATACTTCCTAGTTTCCTCAACCTTTCTGCGGTAGATATGAAGGCATTCC